ACAAACAAACCTACCTACAAATAAACAAACCTACCTACCTACAAATCTACACAAATTTGCAGCCCTCTATTTTCGATCAGTTTTTTTTTTCACATCTGGGCTGTTGTCCATCCAGTTCTGCTCCTTTAATTGTTTTGGCCTTGCGGCTTTATTAGACAGGTACGTGGAGTAAGGCAGACAGGAGAGTAGGGAGAAGAGTGGGGAGAGGACCGGCAGCACATGGCCGTGGGCTGGATTCAAACCCGTGGTCGCTGGTCGGGGATGTAGCCCCTGTTTATAGGTCGCCTGCTGCCCCTGCTCCTTTTGTTTTAAACCTCCACTGCTATGTGGACGCTGACAAGCCTAAAGGACAAACTTTTATCTTCCAATAAAGACATCATTATTCCTCTTACACAAGAAGCGTTTAACTGCTGCTGGCAGGAGGGAGGTCTAATTAACAGAAAGGCTGTGTGGTATTTAAAAATCTAATTGCAATGCATATTATTTAGCATATTACACGCCACTGCCTGCTGCTTGTCCTTTAAGGAACTCATTACCATTTTTTAATGATTTTTTTTTTCTCTGAGTTTCGAGGTATAAGTTGTTATTACTCTGAAAACTAAATCTCTGCAGAAAACACTCAGTCTGAGCCGGCTGTATGACTGTAACTAGATGTGCACTAGATTAATTGAATTAAATCAAGCAAAAGGATAGAAGGACCGCTGTCTACAAAGCTAAGAGAAGATGCGATTGAAAGTTTAGTGTCATGTAACGGAAATTTCATTAATATTCAGACGTTGAAATGATTAAAAAAAAAAGTGATAAGTCTGCAAAAATGACTCTGATAGAAGTGGAAATTAGTCTTTTACAGGTCTTTATCACTGCTAACTCTGAATTCAGTTTAACAATTGTGTGAAGACCAACACTGCTGGAGCAGATGCTAATTTTAAATAATTATGTTTTTAAACATTTGTCTTATTTGCTTCTGAAAAGGAGATGTTTTCTCCGTCTAGTCCACAAAGGTCCCTCCCATTATGAAAGTGCCATAATGTTTATTATACGTAATATTTTTTAAAAACAAATAATGTCAGCGGCGGTTTAACAAGCCTGGTGTTTGTTTTTTGTTGTTTTTTCCCAGGCCATCAATCTGCTCCCAGCAAACACTCAGATCCGAGAGATCCGGGTTTTCCTGGAGAGCGTCCTGGAGGAGAAGGCTCAGAGGAAACGCTGCAACCAGGTGTTGAAGAGTCTGCTTCAGGCCGAGTTCCTCAGGGTGAGTCCCGGACAATCCGTTCACATGATGAATCCTCATAAAATTAAAATTTCAGATGTTACATCCAACACATTTGGCCAGTGAAGTGACTGATGGCTGGGTAAAGTCAAAATAACCCTTTTTCTTGTTCTTGGGCTGTACGGGCTGTTGAAAACCTTAACTGCAGGAAAAAAAAAGCAATCTGATCTCTAGATAAACAATCTTGAGATAAATCAGCCCAAGTGCACCGAGTTCACTCTACCTGTTAGCCGTATTAGCCTAAATGAATTATAAGCAGACATAGTGTTTGCGGCATATTAAATTATTTTAACCTCGTTATGTAATTTGATAATTCCCAGCATGATATCATTTTTCTATTTGACAGTGGAGGTCTCACATCCAGCTCCGTCTGGCTGCAGCTGCTGATTATGAGACCAAACATGTAGAAATATGCCAATTCTGATTCGTTCACACTCAGGGATGCTGTTTAAGATGAGCTGCCTTGTTAGTGTTGAGCTCTGATATACAAATAGCTCACGCTCCGCTTTTTAGCCGTCCGTCTGAACAAAATGCAGCCAGACCAGCGACTTCTTTGACACGTTGTCGGTTAGTTTGGAGCTGAGTAAATGTTCAGTAAACATCAAATAAGGTTGGGTGGATTCAGAGTTGTGAAAACATGGGAGTGTCCAGAGGTAGTTTGTTCCTCCCACCTCAAGAAATAATAAACAAATCCTGGACGGCTGTTGATGTCGCGCTTTTCTCCTCATGTAAGCAACGCTGGTGATTACATACCAACCGTTTGACTGTGAGACTGCAGCCCTGCTCTACTCTTCTTTTACGTGTTGCTGATGAAAAATGTGGGCTTCTGTCCTCTTTCTTAAAAAGATAACGTGGTACTTAATTGAACCCCAGAGAATTGTGTTATTGGCTTTACTCAGAGGGCAGTGTCACGCAGAAAACTATTTTAATTGTTAAACCAAAGCCACGAGCATCCAAATGTTCGCCAAGAGAGAGGAAGTCCAAGAGCTGAACTCAGTTCGTGTGGATAAACTCAGAAAGTCTCTTGTTGAGTCCAGATGTGTTGTACAAAAACTACCTTTGACATAAACTTACAAACAGAAGATCAGTGCAACATTTACTGGCCTCATTTTTCAACCATGAAGAACAAGAGAGAGCTCAAAAATGTCTTCTGTGGAGTATAACAAAGCACCAATGCCATAAATTATATAAGAAAGAAAAAATCTAAGTTGAACTTCTTTGATTATTTATTTTACAAAAACTGAAAACACCTTGAATCAACATGTACGACATTTTCCAAGGACTCTCAGGTGTTACCGATATCGTCTCCTCTCTGCTCGGTGTAAACACAGCCTGCAGGTCAGCTGAAGTCACGTGACCGTCGGTCGCAGCTGAGTCACTAATGGATTCACTGTGGCACCAACAAGTACAGATTTTTTCATTTTTGACAGAATCTAGTACAAACTGTTAATTTTTGGTAATTTTTAAATTAGATATATCCAATAAAGCGATTTTGATGAAAATTCAGATGAAGAGTAGTTCAAGGATTTTTTAAAAGTTGAAAGTTTTTACAGTCTGACTCTGATGAATGGTGTAATTGTGGCAACATTTTTAAAGATAACATGCCTTTGGAACCTGTTGGCTGGTTTCAGGGTTCTCAGCCTTAATGCAAAGCAGTGTCTAGTTACAACCTTTGAGTGTGTATCAGCTGAGAGCAGTTTGATTTCATTTATTCGTTTGTTTAACAGGAACTTTGCTCGTTGATGGACAGAAAAATGGACCGTAAATCATCATCTCTCCTTTTCCAGCTCCTAAAAATGCAACTTAAAATTGGAATAAAAACAAGATTTATTTTTGCTTATCAAAACGTTTCATTTAATTCAAGTCTAAGAGGAACTAAACTGAATATAAAATGTTTGACGTCTGTAATGTTTTGTGTTCTCCTTTGAGAAACAAATCTAGACCCAGCACAGACAAATTTAAATGTTCTCATGATGCCACCGCTCATTTTTACATTAAATCAACAGAACACAGTTAATCCTCGCTCCACATAGATGATAACTGGAGCTAATCAAAGTAATTTCAAACCATATTTGTGCGGTTTTTCTAACAGGCGAAGCAGATGGTCAGTCTGATTAACAGCCCGGCAGCAGCTGCTACACAACACAAGCGTTCCCGCTCAAGTCTGCCTCTTATCTAACTGACAAACACGAACGCGTCTCGTCCGGCACCTTCACTTGTTGGACGAAGCACCAGACGAACATTCGCTGGGGAACGGCGTCCCGCTGATGCCATTTTTCTCAACCTAAGTAGCTCATTAGCTGCTCTGCTACATCGCATTAAACAGCACATAAACAAACCTGCAGATGTCACGGTGGTGCGGTTAAAGGCTGGTGGAGGTTCTTCACGCTTCAGAGCCGCTTCACATCAGCTGCAGCTCTTGTTTCTGGTGTTTCCACAAGGACGTGTTTCTCTGCTTTTAACAACCAAACATTTATTATGATTAAACTTTGGAGAACTTTAATTTTCTGAGGTGAAACTTTTGCAAGAAGAAAGAAAAAAGAAACACGTTGGTGCTGCAGCGTTTTTTCTTGTTTTCGTTTTTATATAATCACCTGTGAACTCCTCAGAGACTGTTGTGGCTCAGGTGATGAAACGCTGCGACAGCTCAGGTCTCGTGATGCTCTTCTGAAGAACACAGGATTCAGATGAGTGAAGCCCTTAATATTTTGTCCTTCATCCGTCAGCGAGTTGCGGCGAGGGATGGCAGAGTTTTGTGGATGAAGGTTTTTGTACCTTGAGATGTGGCACAAAGATAAGTCTTCCACAAAAACAACAGGGGTCAGTGGATGTCATTTAAGATAGCAGTTCTGCTTAAATTATATTCAGAGTTTGCTTATTTGTAATTCTGGACCCAAAACTAAGTTCTGTAAAATGTTTTTGCTTAATTTGAGAATTTCAGACGAGAGAATTTTATGTATTTTCACCGAGGAGGGCCATTGTAAGGGTTGAATATCTGCAGAAATTTAAATTCTACTGATGTTTGTGGCCTTAGAACTTAGTGAAAAGTTTTAGTTGGAATTGCGAATATATCCATCCATCGTCACAATACACACTTAAAAGAACTTTCTGAGGCCCTAATACCACTTTCCTTTCAATATTTTGCACTTTTTCTTTCCATTTTCAAGGGCTTACCCTTGACAATTTGGCCTCTGCTGGAGCCATTCAGTCGTCTTGACCCACTGGAAACAACTTTGTCTGCTTCCTCAACAAATTTCATGGCTCATTTCTAGAAGCATTGAACCCTTGAAATAGCTTCTGAAGGAAGATGCTTTTTAGAGGCTGAAAATGCAAAAATTCAGAATGTGTGCCGTCCTCAAAATTCAGCCAAAAGATTGCACTGGACTTCGTTTTGAATCCCAAATAAATAAACTGGAGACGGTGCAGCAGCATATTTCGAGAGTTTTTTCCTGAATTGGACTGATCCAGGTGTTAAAGCTGATGTGCTCGTGTCGTCGTGTTTTCAGGTGCAGGAGGAACGGATCTTCCACCAGCAGGTTAAATGTGTCATAACAGAAGAAAAGACCTGCAGAGTCTGCAAGAAGAAAATAGGAAACAGGTAACACTGTCTCTCAAAAATCAGGATTTTGACAGTATGCAAATACTCATTTTAAAATTGTATTTTATATTTGATGTTTTATCTTTTGTCTTCTTTTCTGTTTCTTGTTTTGACTTTTATTCTTCACTTGTGCAAATGTACATTGCAAATCTTTTCAGTCACCTTTGCATACACTCACATCTAAACTCCCTCTGATGATCATTTAGTAGTTTACTGCAAGTCAGAATATATTTTTTGAGGATGACTAAAGCTTGACCAGCGTTACTTGGTGGCTTTGCTTAAGTTTAGAAATGAAGAGCATCCATGTGTTGCAATGTTCTGAGCTTAAAGTCTTTCTATGTTTGTTGATTTAACCCTTTAAAACTCATCTGTGTGTATCAGAGTTACATATTTAGATGTTTTTCCATGACAATACTCCCATCTTGTCTTAAAATCTCTGCTATGCTTCACAAGAGCAAGTGATTGAAGTAATTCTGCCAAACGTGTTCGAACCAGAACCTGAAGGAGAGTAATGACGCTGAAAGTCCCACTTTACAAATTCAGATGATTAGATGTACTAAATATGAAACTCCAGAAGTCTGAATCCGTGATTTTAAGACCGTCGTCGGCACACTGCAGGTTCAAGGTGGAGACGCTCAGCCGCGCTGCTTATTTTGCTCAAGCTGTGTCTCCTAGCATTTAAAAAAAACACCATATGGACGCGTTAACAAGGTAGAAAAGCTGATTTTTCGTCAGAGTGGGTTGTTAAAAGTTCACTCAGCAATCTGTCAGCAGCACCTGGACTATCTCTGATTCCTTAAAGCTGCTCTGTAAACATGTATTTTTTAGTTTTATTTTTTTTAAAATCCACTGTGTCATTCTGATGGTTTGTGAAAATCACTGACTGAAGCACCTTGTTTGCATCATCTTTAGCCCTGTGTAGGAGCAGTGAAGAATGGAAATTATGCCCCTTAGCAGATAATGTTTACTTTTATAACGGTGCCACAAAACTGGAGACACTTTCTGCTGCAAATCAGCTTTTTCCACGAGACAGTTGACAAAAGAAACTGCTGGAACATACATCGACTTCCGAGATGAGACAATAACTGTTGAATTTTCATGAGCGACTGCGCTGAGCAGAAAAGAGACGTTCACTCAAACTGCATAATGATGCCGTTGTATAATCTGTGCTGATTGCAAACCGTGCAGCTCTCCTGTGGCTGCTTTTGGTTTTTAAAAGCGGCAGAAGTTAAGCGACAATCTGGAAATACTACTGGTTTGTTTTTAGATGTAGTAGTCCTACATTTCACTGTTTCTAACGCAGGATGTTTATGCTTTAGACTGTTTTTTTAAATAAAATGAGGCACAAATGAAGTGTCTCCAGAGGACTGAAGTAAGTTTAACATTTGTTTGTAAGTCGGTTCGATAGAAAGTGAAGATAATTAGCTTCACAGTGGCGGTTAGCTGTTTTTTTTTGTGTGTGTGTGTTAACCAGGTTTTCTTCTTTAGATAAAACATGTCATGTGACTTTTCTTCAACAAAAAATTCAATTAAAATAACTTAATTTGGCCCACGGGGGCACTTTAAGGCACACAGAGCAGCTAGACACAGAACGGTAGCAACAACTGTACAATAGTTTGTTTTTTTAATACACCGATGCTAAATGCACCAATCGTGGGCCGCCTACTTGAGTCAAGAGGAAAAATTTGTTATTATGGAAACGTCTGAGAGATATCAACCTTTATAACAGTAAGAAGCACCAAGAAAGAGGCAGGCTGGTAGAAAACTGTTTATCTTGTAAATTAATATATTTATTTAACCACTGAGTGATCGTTTAGTGCTGATTCTGTCCCATAATTAAGCCTAATAATTGGCTCATCAAAGTGGAATTAGAGATAGATAGATGCTTTATTCATCCCTCATGGGGAAATTCGTGGTATCTAGGTGCTCATACATGTTATATACAAGATAGATAGTCAATGTTGTTGACTGAATATTCTCTGTGATAAATACCATTAAACTAGTAAAGTTTGTAATCCGTGTTCTGCATCTAGCAGCAATTGGCAGCAAATCAGGACCAAGAACAGCAACATATTTGTGTTTTTTTGCATCTTAAAACATGTAGATTTATGTGGCAACACAACAAATAGTTTTTTTTTCTGCTTTCGGCTTCACTCATGAAGCTGACTGAGAAAACGCCAGGAGTGTGCAAAGCTGTCATCAAAGCCAAACGGTGCTACTTTGAAGAATGTAAACTATAAAACATACTCTGGTTTGTTTAACACCTTTTTTGTTTTAGTTCCACGTGTTCTTTTACAGTTTTGATGTTTTTTAGTGTTTAAAACCATTGAAAGAGAAGGTGTGTCCAATTTAAATCCCAAAGCAGCATTAGTTAGCTGGTTAAAAGAGAGCAGTGACGCCGAAAAGCCCGACTTTAAGCTCAACTAAGCTGGCTAATCTTGCTTCGTCGTGCAGCCCCGAGGCTCGACTCATGGCGCTGCACTTTACCGCAGACATGAGTGATCTTTTTATGTGCCTTTTTTAACCACATTAATCCTCGCTGACGTAGGATTAAAACACCGTCAGGGTAGAGTAAACGCATCTCCTGGGTTTTTTTTCCATCTCCTCCGTGTTGTTGCCGGTTTATTGATTCGGGCGAGTCTTCGCCCTGAGCCGCTGTTAATTTCATACCTCGTTCATTTTTAGTTCGCTCATAAATTTTAATGAAACGCTTGTTTATCTGCCGTAATCCTGAAGCTCCCTTTATCTTTTTTTTTCTTTCTTTCTTCCAGTGCGTTCGCCAGGTATCCCAACGGCGTGGTGGTGCATTACTTCTGCTGCAAAGACCGAAACGTGTGTCCCACCGAGCAGTAACGGCCTCCTCCTACCCGGGACTAATGAACCGCCCTCCCTGCTCCCACTGGACTTCACCGCTTGGACGTCTCTGAACCAGAAAAAAAAAACAAAAAACAAAAGCAAAGGTTGCTCAGATAAACCAGAGCACCTCGACGTTTTTTTTTTTTTTTTTTAAAGAACCAAAACCTCCTCCTGAAAGCAAAAAAACTGCGACCTTCTGTGCATGAAGTAACAGGAGGAATGTCCGCTCGACAGGTGGGGAGGAGATAAAGAAGAAACGAGGGGCTGTGACATTTGAAAAGCATGCGCCGCTGTAACGCTAGACGGGGATTGGCTGCCCCGCGGTGCACGTCGGGACTAAATGAGCGCCATTGAGAGAAGCTGGCGCTCGGCGGGAGATGATTACAAGCCTCGGTCAGCGGTCGTCTTTTTGTTTTTTGTCCCCCTCCTGTGACACTGTGTTAGGCCTCAAACGAAGCTCGATCCGCCATATAGACTCTGCAGGAGTTCTGTTAAATAAATGCCTTCTGTGACTCTGAAGATTGTACTCACAGTGAAGTCAGATGTCTTGCTGTTACCGGTACTGACAAAGCAAAACGCCTTCTTTTTCTTTTTCTGTCTTACAGCATGTTTTTGATGCAACTCCTCCAGCTAACATTATTCACAGCTGTGGTTTTTTTTTCTCATTTACAGTTTTTACATTGTTACCAGACTACATCCACTCTTTTAATGCTTTTTGGTTTTTTTGGACGTCGTCTTTGCATTTGTTGTCTTCTTTATGAAGTAGAATTAACTTTTAAAGCAACACTGGGTAACTTTTAAAGTGGAAATTACAGATTTAGCACCAAATTCTCCTTTTTCAGACTCTCCTGAGTAGTTTATTAATGAACTTGTGAAGATAAGAAGCAGTTATTTTAATTTTTTTTTTTCAATTAAAACTAACAAATTTCATCAGATCCAGCTTCTGAGGTGCAACACTAAACCGAATATTTTGGGTTTTTGGATTATTGTTGGACAAAAAAAGCATGTTTAACAGGTCAGTGTGGGTTCGGAGGAAGTGCAAAACAATATTTTTGACTTATTAAATAACAATAAACAACAGATGCTCTTCATTACTATGAAAGTAGAGATGAGTCAGAGTTGGCTGCTGACTAAGTGAAGCTAAAATGCATTTAATTGCTTCTGATTTCAGTTTTTTGAAATTTTGTGAGAAGATTATTGCAGTTTTTCTTCCTTCAAAAGTTACCCGGTCTCGCTCTAAGACAGATCACAAAAGTACAGCACTTTAAAAGTGGGTCGTCGTCCCGTTTATTTATTGTCGAATCACACGTCTGCGTGACAAGAACTGGAAGTAATGTGAAAGACTGGAGAGGTTTGATCCATCTGTGCGTTTTAATGGCAATATTGTTATGAAACGTGTCTGTTTACTGTCTGCCTGGGAGGTCATTAAAGTAGCAGGACTCGTAAATTCAAAAACTGAATGCAAGCAATGGATTTTATGAAGGAGTTTGGATCCAGAGTGTCGTCACTGAGTCAAATCTGTCCCTTTCACCGCTGGGCACGTCTGGAGGACGTTTTAAATTCACCTTTTCCTGTAATTGGTAGCGTCGTCTCCTGCTCCTTTAAACGCCACCTCTTCCTGTTAGAGGTTTGCACACGCTCTCTGCTAAGACTGTTTCAGATTTGTACCACTGTGTGTGTGTACTGCACAAAGACCGGGAGTGCTGACGGTTAATTTTCTCACTGAGGTGGTCTGATTGTGAAGGGCGACCCGGCATCCGTGTGTCTGGCTGTAATCGGTAATAAACGAGCATTTCCACTCATGTTTGTGTCTGGCGGCTGGAGTCCACTGTGGAGCTGTTACGTCTTATTTTTGCTCGTATTTACATTTGGTTGATGCAGGGATTCATAACAATGTTGTCACTGTGAGAATACACCTAAAAATATCCCATAACCTCTGAATCTGAAAACCCTCTGGCATGTTGTTTTCATAAATATCTCCCAAATGACACATCAGAGCCAGAAACAGTAAAAACAGAATTGTGGTTTGAAACTTTCCAACAGTACCTGAAACTCACTTATCATCTGTTATATGCAATTTCATCTGGCAAGTAAACAAAATCCAGGCTTAAAATTATGATATTTCATCAAAATCACTTTAAATTTTGCCAAAAAATAAACTGTTTGTACCAGATTCTGCAACAAATTTAGAAAGTTTGCACTCCTTGGCACAACTGAGAAGCCTTCACTGACTCCGTCGTGACAAGAAGTGTTTTGGCTGAACTGCAGGCTGTGTACGGAAACCAATTCAAAATGCAAGTAGTTAGACATCTATTGCATGTAAAGTCACCATTTCTTTCCAGTATTGCTAACACCTGTGAGCTGTACATGTTGATGCCAGTTTTTTAAAATTTTTGTAAAATAATTAATCAAAGAAATTCAACTTTCTTTTCCTTTTTAGGATTTTTTTGCCATTTTAACTCATACTGAGCAGAAGAAGGTTTTGAGTTCTCTCTACCTGTAATCATGGTTGTTCTGTTTCCGTAGAGGTGCAGGACTTTATCCTGCAGAGAAAAATGAGCCACAGTGAGTAAAAATGTGACGAGAGACGTTTGTGTGGAAGCCAAATAATGCCAAGAGGAAAATAAGTAAATAAATGAACACTGTGAAATTCTAAATCGTACTGAAAAATGGTAAAATTATGAGATACTGCTTAAACATGTTAAATATTTAATGAAATCAGATTCGGGAAATGATTAATCTTAAACTTAATCTCTTCATTTTGAACTTAATGTTTGGCAGTATAGCACTCAAAATGGCTGTTTTTATTGAAATTGTGATTAAATTGTATTTAATTAAGTATGATTATTTAATATTAATAAGAAATATTCATAAATCAAACCAAATCGTAGGTGGTAGCAGCATTGTTTGGTACATTGTTTAGCATATTTTCTGACTGAAACGTCACACAGTCGTTTAATCTGATCCTTTATTTTGTCTTCAACATAATTTTACTTACTGTAGTTTTTACTTTTTCTGATAGTTGCTGATAGTTTCAGTATCTTTCTTCTTTTACTTATTATAGTTTTGACTATTTGCCTCTTCATTCTGTTTATTAATTTCATGGCATTGTTGGGCTTCCATAAAATGTGTCGTGAGAGAATTAAAAAAAAAATACCAACCTGAGAAACAGTTCTGCAGGTAACTTCAGAGCCTGGTCACATAATCCAGACTGAACTGTGAGCTTATTATTTTAAGTGTTTTTTTTAAAGTGCTATTAAACATTAAAGTGGTTCCTCTTGTTGTTCCCATGAATAAAGTGGAGCGACTTCACTCCTCATCCATCTGCCAGCGGTCCAACATCCCCATCTCATCTGGAAGTCCTTTCCCAGATAGGCCCATTATCCCCGGGGCTGTGGAGAATACCCACACTGTTCCTCGTCCCTGCTAATGGACTTCCTACACTGAGCCGAGCCAGCTGGAGTAACAGAATCACAACAGGCCGACTGCTCGGCAACGCGGAGAGTCTCGGCGGAGGCTGCCAACTGCTCTCTGCACCGAGGCCTCGAACGGATCCCGATGACTCCGATGTCTGGGCGGGAAGACGGCGCCGAGCCCCAGAACCAGAACCGGCCAGAATGTGCTCGGCTGATGGAGCATATGGAGAGCTCCGGAGTGATGGCACATCCACGAGGCTGAGAGAAACCCTGAATAATTCATCAAGCTCCAAATTATTGTGGCTCTCTTTATAACTCGCTGTGTTTTTACTGTACTGGGATGCTGTCATGTCCTGGAATAGCGCACCAGTGTGCAAATGGAAAAGATGTTCCAGCAGCAGTGTGCCCAGTTTAGACCAGCCCACCTCTGCTTTATGTTCTGCACAGCTGGCAGAGAGAAAAAATAATAATACCTCCTGGGTTTTTATGTTGGTCTTATTTGGATAAATATGGAGCCAAGTGTGACACCGATGAAGATGTGATGAGTGATTTTAAGGCTCTGAAACACCGGTTTCTGTTGGTTCACACTGAAATATTTCAACAACCACTTTATGTGCGACACTAAAATTTTACACGGACATCGGGCTGTTTTCCACTGCAGGAACTTGCAGAGCGTTTTTATGACGGATTGAATCTTCAGGCGTGTTCTGAACCGCCTCCGTAGAACCTTCAGGGCTGTTTTGGGGGAGAAAAAAAGTACATTTAGAATTGCTAATGCAGCCTCTGTGATTCTGACGTGGGAAAGAAACAACAACCTTGCAAAAAAAAAACCCTCCTAAACATGACCCTTAATCACAGGAATGCTGGACTACCATTACCTCTGTGTTTAGTGAAATACACAATGTGGACAAAAGTATTGAGACACCTGCAGCACATTTTATGACATCCTAATCTAAATCTGCGTACATTAATACAGACAATTTTTAGCTATAACACCTTCAACTCTTGGAGTGAGTTTGTGGGAATTTTTTGCCAATTTATCCAGAAGAAAACTTCAGGCACTGATGCTGGACGAGAAGACCTGGTTTGCAATCTCTGTTCTAGTTGGTCCCAGAGGTGTTGGGTATTGTTGAGGTCGGGGCTTCGTGCAGGTCAGTCAAGTTCTTAAACATTTCCTAAAGGCCTCGAACTTCTAGCAGGGAAGAAACTTCACAAACTGACCTGCTGCAAAGATGCTCTCCCATGATTTTACCACAGACTCTTTCACAAACGTACATACATTTACACCTGTAATGAAACACCTGGATTTAATGACTACAAGGTGTCTTCCAATACGTTTGTCCATATAGTGCATGTTAGGAAATTGTACTGTTTACTGCACTAATTCTAGACAAGGTAGACTTGCACAGGATCATAATTAAAGACAGCCTCTGCAAATATTATGAAATACTGGAGATGCCCGAGTAAAAGATGTCTCAGATAAATGCAGTGCATGCACAGAAGTTACAGGAACACTGGTGTAAAAAGATTCAAGTATTATGAGAAGAGGTCAGAGCTACAGAAGAATTTCATTGGATGCTCAGTAAATTCTACTCGGTTTGTTTCTAAAAGAACATAACTATAACAATTTTTAAAAAGAACAGAAATGGGCTGAACCTCAGTTTTCTAAATGCCATAAAGACTGTTCTGTCACTTCAGACTTCGAGGTTGCAGCGAAGAGTGCAGAATTTTTTATTTTTTACAGAATTTGATGTAAACAAATTGTTTGCTTTTGTTCAAAAACGAGACACGTAAAATTAAAAGATTTTGCTGAAACATCACGATTTTGAGCTTCGATTTGATTCATTTTTTGGATGAAACTCACATTGGATCAAACAAATGATGTCAAACCTTCCACTAGAAGGAAACCCTTTAAGATCAATGAAACAGAGCTGGATTTACCAGAGAATCCTACTGGAGAATAGCAGACTTTGTAAAGAATAAGTGAAGAAGACTTACTGAGGACAGCAAATTTAGATTATCATTGTGTTGATTTCTTTTTGTTTTTTTTTCCTGTATGTATATTTTAATTGAAAATAAATAAAGATATTGTTTAAATAAAAGTAGTCCAGTGTGAGCAGAGCTTCAGATACATAGAGGAGAGTTTATAGTGGTTAAATCAAAGACTGTAGGTGGACTCTGATGTTGGCATTTAGCATAAATCACCAGCGTTAGTGTTACAAGGAGGGAGGGAGGTAGCGTTGTGAGCCACGTGGAGGACGAATCTCCAACAACACACCAAAAGGAAGAGAAAGGAAACCTTCACAAAGTGCATCCAGCAGTTAGCACAGCTGCCCTCTGAGCCTCATTTCTCTCCCATTACACTCATGTATATACTTAAGTAAGGGGGGGCGTGTCTTTCCAGTTTACACCGGCCAATCAGGACACAGCTATTACCCAATTATATTTAAGATCCCGCCCACTCAGGGGCATGCTTCCTCTTTAACCTCCAGGACAAGATGGCCGCTGCAAGGTAGAAGCTCTGACAGCTGAAGGCTTCTTTAATGTCTTTCTAACAGGCTGCTCACTTAAATCAGACGCTTAAGGATTCAGTCTGTAGCCGCTGCAGCTGTAAAACTACATAAACAGAAAAACTAAATGGTGTGTATCTGCATGTGGTCAGGTAGGAGCTTCCCAACAGCCAGCCGGCAGACACAAATACTGACTGTCACAGTTTGAGGATGGTATTTTTTTTGCTTTCCTTTTCCACAATAACACACAGTCACTGACAGTTGGCTGCCTGCTAAGCCACAGCAGGGCAGAGTCGGGTATTAATACCAGTTTCTTTGAAGAGTAAGAGCTCTGAATCACAGTGAACACCCTATTTCCTCTAAATGTCATGAGATTATTGTGTTTTTTGGGGTTTTTTTTCCATCTTATCTTTCCAGATGTTTTATTATATTTGAGTTCTGTGTTCAGTAGGTGTGTGTGTGCTTCTAATCCCACATGTGCCTTATGACAACAAGGCCTCGGCAGCTCCCAGTCGGCTCTGCTGGATGGCCTCCAGCAGGATGTGTTGTCCCCTTTAGCCGGCGATAATCCGCCGCAGAGACACCGGTGAGTAACGCACTCAAACAGTATCGGATCAGCAGGTTAGTGGACTTTTCCGGCTCCGTATCCTGGAGCTCCACCCGTCTGCTGTGAAACCACAGATGATGCTTTGTTCCATCAGACGTCACTGTTTGGAAAAATAGCTGCATCAGCTCTCGCCGAGTGACTGATTGTTAAAACACGTGGACTTATTTAAGGATAGTCGGTGACTTAGAGAGAAAATCCAGCTTATAGTGAGCTGGCTTTAGTTTTTTAGGCTTTGCGTGGTGAGACTTGTCTGTTTTTCTTGGTGATAA